GTTTTCAGAAGTTCCCATTTGAATCTTTGCTGCCACCACCAAGATCTGCACCGGGACCCACTTCACTCAGGCTTATGCTGCAGACTTTGCAGCAGGCCCTCGCCCTTCTACTCATTGGGGCGTCGGAATCAATGGCGCTGAAGCACCCGACTTATGCTCCGAGGCTGGCTAGGCAACCAGCAGCCTGGTACAGTTGGTACACCTATGAACTGTCGAAAATACAGACCGAAAGTTTACCACAAATATCATATTTTTATTATTTATTTGTTTTATTTATCTTCGTTCACTAAAAATTTTTGTGCAAGATTTGTGGACGGCGCCATGTGACCAGCGGAGTACCAAAGTGTTATTGCTCCAAACGGCCAGGGCCTTGTCCCATCTGAAAAGGTACGGCGGTGCGACCCCTTGGAATCCGGAAGATGGTGAACAGTGTCGTGGGCACAGTCTGCCCAAAGGCACCAGTGGGAGGCTGCCGAGGTGTTTGCTGTGTGGCAGGCTGTCTCGGAAGTTGTGCACATGGAACCCTTACCCACACTTCGGTCTTCGAAGTTTCTTTTGAATATTTGCCTACCGCCACCAAAATCTGCGCTTGGAACCCGAAAGATGGTGAACTGTGTCGTGGGCACAGTTCAACAGAGGGCACCAGCTAGAGGCTGCCGCAATGCTTGCTGTGTGACAGGCTGTCCCGACAGCTGGTAAACAAGGCATGAGCATAAAAGGGTCACGGGTACTGCGGTAAAAACCCGCAGCGATGCTGATCTGTAAATTGTCCTTCGGATCTGGGTATAGAGCGGAAGACTACTCGAGCCATTTAGTTGTTGATTCCCTCTGAAGCTTCCCTCTGGGTAGCCGGAGCTGAAGCGAGATGCAGTCTGTGACTGCATGATCCACCAACCACGATCTGCTGTGAGAGGTTTCAGTAGGGTAATGCCCGTTGGGCACAGTGGCGGAGGGTGCAGATTGTGCGCAGCCACTTACATGAGACCCTCTCCACTTTGGTCTTCAAAAATTCCCATTTGAACATTTGGTTACGACCACCAAGATTTACATTAGGGCTGGCCTACCGGTGCTCATGCTGCAGGTTCCGCAGCAGGCCCGTGCCCTCGATCCCGCGACGTGTGTTTGAGTCTGTCCGTTGAAAATTCGGAAGGGTGTAAGCTCTGCCTGAGCAGAGCTTGACCTGAGGCGCAGTGGAATAAGCGTGCAGTAAATACGGGCGAAAAACTAGTCGGACGGCGTTCTCTTCGGAGTTTTTCCCCAGATTGACTCAAGCCGCCAAACAACCTTCACTAGATCGTCGGGCGGTGCGCTACGAAGAAAGACTAATGGGAGGGACGCAAAGTTGTGGGGGCGTGAGCAACAGATCGAACGTGGATGTGTAGAAGAAATAGTGATAGTATAGAGAGAGAGGAAGAACGAATTAGAGAAGAGAGGGGTAGCGCAGGAGAGCGCGGCAAGACCGGAAGGAAAACAATAGAGACAATGACGAAGGAAGAACGAACTTGGATGCAGTTTCGTGCCAGGTACGTTCGAAGAAAGGGGGAGGAGACAACGTTGGAGCCAGAAGCTATGGCGGAATGAAAAGTTACGGCGTGCTCGTTTCCTGATAAACTCAGGCAAGACAAGGTGGTAAGTTGGGGTTTTTCTGTGTGACAAACTGATCTGAGGCATCAAATTTGGGTTCTAGAAGGCGGATTGACCACTACCAGAATAATAAGTTGTGTGCGAAGGAATCGAGAGCAGAAGGAGAACGAAAAGCAAAGGGGGAAAAGGTTATAACTCACTCATTTCTCGACAGAATCGAGTATGGTAAAAGGCTAGACGGGGGTTTTGGGACATGGCGAAGAGATTGGCAGTACCGGATTTCGATTTTGGGCAGCAATTTGGCTAGTGTGAACACAGAAGGTTAACGACACCTATTTTTTTCATTATTCTAGGAACACTCGGTTGACAATCCTGATTTCTACGAGTTCAGACCAATGTTTTCACTAGCATTCTTGAAAAGTTTTAAGATTTACATTGTTGGTATGGTGCCCCGTTTACGGAGAGGGGAGGAGGACGGAATGGGCAATTTCAAACCTTCACACATTTCACCAGTTCAGTCTGTTCTCAATCTTCACTACCGTCGAAGCAAGGAAGGGGGGAAGGATGAAAAAAACAATTTCATGCCTTTACCGATTTCACCACTTCAGTTCCTTCACAGCCTTCACTACCGTCCAAGAAACAAGGGGAAAGGACGGAAGGGGCAATTTCAGACCTTCACGAATTTCACCACTTCAGTTTCTTCACATCTTTCACTATCGTCTTTGTATGAGAGGGGGGGGGCGATTTCATGCCTTCACCGATTTCGCCACTTCAGTTCCTTCACAGTCTCCACTACCGTCCAAGCAAGAGGGGTGGAGGATGGAAGGGGGAATTCCATGCCTTCACCGATTTCACCACTTCAGTTCCTTCACAATCTTCACTACCGTCTAAGCAACAAGGGGGGGAACGGAAGGGGCAATTTCAGGCCTTCACAAATTTCACCACTTCAGTTCATTCACAATCTTCACTACCGTCCAAACAAGGGGGGTGGAAGATGAAAGGGGCAATTTGAGGCCTTCACGGATTTCACCACTTCAGTTCCTTCATAATCTTCACGATCGTCCAAACAACAGAGGGGGGGGAAGGGACGGAAGGGACAATTTCATGCCTTCACAAATTTTGCCACTTAAGTTCGTTCACAATTTTCACTACCGTCCAAGCAAGGGGGGTGGATGACGGAATGGGAAATTTCAGGTCTTCACAAATTTCACCACTTCAGTTCATTCACAATCTTCACTACCGTCAAAGCAAGCGGGGTGAAGGATAGAAGGGGCAATTTTATGCCTTCACCGATTTCACCACTTCAGTTCCTTCTCAACTTTCATTATCGTCTATGTAGGAGGGGGGGGGG